CAAAACGTTTGCTACGCGCCGCTAGACGTTTTGGTACGATTCTGACCCTCCCTCGCCCCCCGCCACTACGAGGTCAGCAATCCCCCCCCCCGTGAACAATGGTATGGTCCACAGGCCCAACGCTCCCCACGAGTCAGGCACGTTCCAAATATATACGTATCACAACTAAACTTTCAAAAACATGCTAAATTAACAACACACGCCATGTTACAAAAGTTACAACACACATACAAATGTACTACATCAATTAAAAATGACTGACATTTTATTTTGTGATGTGAAACGTGTCAAAGTTGCTAAAAGAGGTGACCAGAACTAAGGCCGAATTCAGGCCACAGATGACCATTCCTGACCTCATCTGGTCACCTGTCATTTGCGTTTGTAGAATAAATTTAACAAAAAAACAATAAACAGTTTAAAAGGTGCAACTGAACGGTGCATTGACCTTGATATCAAATGCAGGTGCAGTTAAGCAGAAATATCAGATAAAAAGTTCAAAGCTAGAGTACGTGTTAAATGGCTAACAAGCTAAGTCAGAGTAAGCTAGGCTAAAATTAGCCAAAGCTATCAGTCAATCAGTCATCGATGGGGCAACTTAATTGACAGTTTTTACCTGATTACTAACGTCAGAGGGTAAATTTTTTATTATTATTTTTCTGCGATTGTAAAACTCCCGGCGAGTTCTCTCCAAGCGGCTCTCAATCTCTTCGTGGCTCAGTGGTATCCAGTCCTCGACCCTTCGCTGACACTTCGTGGGTCCGGGTGTCGCGTCCTCTTCACCGCCGGAGGAATGTTCGGAATACCGACGGCCTCCAGAAATCCAGTCTTCTTGTTCCGCAGCGAGGTCATAACTTCCATTAAGTGGACGAGGGGAGAAACCAGGCTCGGTGTCTGTGTTTTCATCTCTGCCAGCGGTGCTAACACACACAACGGCGGCCATCACTCAGTTGGGTGGAAGTTTAATCGCACTGGAAACTCACTCGGCCTGATTTGAGCAGTTTAAACAATACACACGTGGGTCCTTCGCCACTTCTCATTGGACGAGAGGGGGACGCAATCTCCATGACTACGACGCAACGTAAGATAGGGCGGAGCCATAAAACAAAATATGAAACAAAACATTAACTAGAAAAACACCAATATTCAGCAAAATCATACACAGTAAAAAGTTGTATTATTTTAAAAAGAGTTTATGCAGCGTTTTAAGGTAATCTTTAGAAAAATAATAATTAATGTGAATGTATTTAAACTTCACGTTTTAAATCAAAGTTTTCAATTTTTGTGTGTACTTACAGAAATCATCTTCATGTCATGATTTTTATATTTTAATTATATTGCACTTTTTTTTTACTTGAATACATCTGTGTTTATCACAATGACATTATATGCAGCACCCTCTAAAAACAAACACATCTTAAACATCAAAGTTTACAGCACAAGATGAATATAGCTGTAAAGAAAGTTTCAGAGCTGTTCGCTGCATTCCCTAACTGTGGTGGATTGAAATTGGTCACTGTGAGAGGCCCAGGGGTAACTTCCCCTGCAGAGAATAGGCTTCACTCTGTGTCTAGTCTGCATGACAGATTTTGGCTGTGCCTCATCTGACTACTCAAAGTAATGACACGTGTTTAAATATGATGCCTCCACAATTGTCTGAAGGCTGTTTCAGAATTTGTCTAGAAAGAAACCGACAATACATTCTCAAAATAAAAAATAAAATTAGAAAGGATTAAAATATCTGACTACAACTTTATAGATTTTTTTCTTCTTCTTCTTTCAGCTGCTCCCTTTTTCAGGGGTCTCCACAGCAAACTAATCGCACGAAGACTTGGCTGTTATTTGTACGCCGGATGCCCTTCCTGACCCAACCACAGACCACCGAGCTACCACAGCCCTCTGTGTGGAGCAGAGAGCTGCTATCTGGGACACCCGGAGGAGCAGATGGTAGGGGTTAAGGCCCTTGCTCAAGGGCCCCAGTACCGACACCGGCGATCTTCTGATCGCAGGCTCACCTTCTCTAACCTCTGCGCCACCACTCCCCCATCTGACTACAACTTCATAGATACATGGGTTAAAATATGAGAATATATAATGAAAGCTGGGGTTCTGAGAGTTTGAGTTATTTAAGCACAGAGAAGGACCGTTAATGGTTTAGACTCTTGCAAGGTTGAATTTCAAAACCATGTTTGACAAATGCTTGAAAAAGAAAGCATAGGATGACTTGCTACCAGTAAAGTCATGGCAAAAATGGTCATAAAACCTCAGCCACACAATATTTTATAGAGACGAGTCTGACCCATCAGTTATAACCACGGTTATAATGCAGGACTGCTCTGAGAATGTCTTCAGACAGCATGACACTTTTCACCTGATGGTTGGCTGGAGTCCTGTTTGGGTTTCTTCTCAGCTTTCAGGAAGGCCCAGTTAGGATATCCACATTGCTCCAGGGCCTGTCTTGTGTGGGATTTCTCCTTCTCTCTGGCTCCTGAGTTAGTGGGGATGCTGTCTGCTCTGTGGTACAGAGTCCTGATGGCTCCTAACTTGTGCTCCAGTGGGTGATGGGAGTCAAACTGCAAATACTGGTCTGTGTGGGTGGGTTTGTGGACACCTCAGTTTGCAGATGTCCTCCAACAGACCCTGAGATCTCACAGTCCTAAAAAGCCAACCTGCCATTTTTTTACATCTTCTTGTGCGAACTTTATTTATTTATCCAAAGAGTTGATGTGATAAGTGAAATGTTGGATTATGAGATTTGATTTGAACCCAGGTGTGATGCGACATTAAAAGAGATCATTGTTTCATGAGTCTCCATGATGACATCCCTCACCTTATCCGCAAAGTCCATGGTGTTCTGTATGTGGTGTTCTGAGCTGCCAACTAAAGGGGTGAGTGCAGACGCCAGGTATTTGGAAACGTTGTGACAGAGTTAATCATGCTAACAATCAGTCTTGTTCAACTGTCCCCCTCTTACTCTACTATTGCAAGTATCACTCAGCAGCCCTATGTAAATAGCAAGTGGCCATCAGGGCACCATATTGTTAGGGATCTAAAAATCAATTATGCTGATGGTCCTCCTTTTACATGTGAACAACTAGTTTTGCCTGTCACCAGCAAACTGGTTGATCCATATGAGAAGGTGCAATTTATAAGACTGAGTTTGTTGCAGCGCCTCAGACTGAAGAAGTCTTTTGGATAAAAAATGAAATGCTTCAACAAGAGGAATTCATCCAGAGGACCTGACCTGACTTAACCTTGTTAGATTTATCTACCGGGATTATTGAGCATCAGGATAAATGTATGATTATTAAAAACTGCTAAAGCAGTAAATTGCATTAAAGTGAGAATTAAGAGCATTCGCTGATGAAGACTGTCTGTACCTCCAGGGGGCATTAGTCCAGGCAAGGCTCAGAAAAACAGATGTCATGTTCAAAAATCAGCACTTGGAGGAGCAAGAGGTTTATGCTTCGTGTCATTTAAGCATGGGGTTACCTCTGCTTCATATGGGAATGCTCCAAGTCCTCATTGTGCATTAAGATGTAGTTCTTGATGTGCTTTCTTTTTAACAAGAACTTGCAGAAGCTCTATATGAAATACTCTAAATATAATTTTGTCCATGGTTGTATATTCAAAGCATTTGCAATTGTAACATTGCAGGTTTTTGGCATGCATAACACAAATACAAGCAAAATATTGATGCATATGGCTGCCATCAGATAATTCTTTATTTTTCACACTACTGATGCCAAGCTCACTCATGGTTTACATGATTTATACTGTACACAAAATTAAAATTCAACTTTTGTCTGTGCAACAGGATTGTGGGTGAAAAACAAAGTAAAAAAAAGTGTCCTCCTGTTTTGTGTGGCTTTAAGAGAAGTATAGAAAAGACCCGTCACTGTGGCTGTGACATGTTAAAATTTGGTGTCCACAATCTACAGTGGTGACATGTAAGCTATACTTTCTTAAAATTAAGGACATCTGGCGAGACAGGTCTGTAATTCAGCTGATCACACATCAGTCTGTTCAGACACTTACAAACATGGTGGAAACGGTTGATTAGACTTTGAAAAGGTATTTTATTTACAAAATGACATGCAAGGTGAGATATACTGAAAATGTACAGAAATGAAAATCAGAAAACTGTTAAGTCGGAAAAGTCCTTAAGAAACTCTGTATTTGCACTGCTAAAAATATATATATATATATATTAAAAAAGCTCACATGCATTGGCTTATCAGCACCAAGTACAACTCAGTTTGGGACAAAGAACAGACAAGCAACAAATATGAAACAAACCAAATAAGACAACCCCACTCCCACAACCCCTACACACACAGACTGTAAATATTAATGGCTTAACATGATAGATGAGAGAACTGCAGTGTGCTTTTCATTAACCATTTATAAAGACAGATGTGTAAACATATGCAGCAGGATGAACTGTACACTTAAGAGATGGATTACATGAGAAAAAACCGATGACATGAAGTTAAGTTGAACTCCACTGATCCATCCATTATCTTTTACCTGCTTCTTTCTTTTTGGGTCACTGGGGTCGCCGGTGCCCATGTCCAGCAATCACTGTGCGAGGGTCGGGGTACACCCTGGACAGAGCACAACAAGTCCATCACAGGGACAACTTCACTGATCCCAATCAGCAAATCTGAGACATGGAGAAGTTTGTGTTGAACTGCCAGTCGTACATTCTGCGGATGGTCTCAAACCTCTTTATGAGGTCTTCGAAGGATGGTCGGTCTGCAGGATTTGTTTTCCAACACTGTTCCATCACCAACTCCACCTGTTGGCAACAAAGACGATGATGAAAATACTGTTTTTTGGAAACTAGTTTAATCAGAAAATAAATTTTACAAGTACAAATGTTCTATCTAGTTTTATACCCTGAT